GTGATTCACTTCGCCAAGGTAGTAACTCTGATCTGCCTCTATGTTTTCGACCATCCCATCTGGACGCCATAAAAGCAGCCTTTGATGCATCGATGAAGGCACAGCACCTACACCATGAATCCACTCACGGCCTAACAAAAGGTTGTAGTTAGGTTTGGCCGATATGACCATGAACATTGTTGGTCGAAGGATCGACCCAACTTTTATGTCTAGCTGGATCACTCCCATGGTGGTCCCGATGCCTCCCTCATAGTTGGACAGGACCATATTGTGAGGTTTGATTTCTTCATCCCTTTTGCCAATCTTCCTTAGCATAGAATGAGGGATAATATTAATAGTGGCCCCACAGTCGACCAATATTTTGTTCACAGTGGTCTCTTCGAGCTTAGCCCTTATGAACAAAGGTTTGAGGTGATTCTTCATCGCCTCTGTAGGTGGCTCGAAGAAGCCATTTTGTTCCTCTGTAGTGCCGTTGTCCATGACAAAATAGCACACTGGCCTATGTTTGGCCATTTCTTGTTCCACCTCCCAGTCACTGGCTTCGACCTCTACCTGTCGATTGAATTCCCTAGGCAGCACTGAAACAATATTCACCATTATATCCAGAGTATCGTCGGACTCAGCATCGTCTTCGTCTTCGACTTCACTTTGGTTAGGCCAAACTAGCCTGTTGGTAACTGGTTCTCTCTCAAGAGGCTTTCTTTGTTTCCTTTGAGGCACATTCGAACTAGTTTCTGCCTTAGGTTCGTTGGCAGCCTCCCTTTCAGCTTTTCGCCTTCTTTGATATCTCCTCCATTGGGATCTCGACATAGGATTTTTTCCCTTGTAGTTGCTGGACACTTGAGCAACTTTGGGTGCAGCAACTTGAGGCTCTTTCTTCTGAATTAAAGAGGAACCTCTTGGCACTTCGAAAGAATGCCATTTCTCTTCACTTGGCCTTTTCCGGCCAGATGTTTTGTACCAAGTGTCTACTGGTACATTTGTTGGAGGCCTAAAAGTCAATGGCCTCTTGTCTTGATTAGAACCCCTTCTGGGATCATGTCGAAGGTCAGCATTCTCCCTTCTCTTGTTCGCTGCTCTCACGCCTTGTATGTGCTCAGCAGCTTTTTTATCAAAGATAGAACTGCATCTTGGACACAGCATCACCTCTGATTTCTTCTTCTGGCATCTTTGTAAAAAATCTGCCAAGTTTTCGTTTTCCCTAGGGAAAGCCGTTTTATTAGCCTGCTCTTGCCTTATGGCTTCTTCTGAAGCTTTAGGGTCAGAAAGTTCAACCATGTTGATATTCATTGTATCCTTATTAGCAAGAGTCAGTTGCTTCATTTGTGTCTCCAGATTCTCCGTCTGGCCTTGTATGGTGGCCAAATGGGAACTGGGCTTTGGTCCAGTTTTTTGTGCTTCAGCAGTCTTCGACTTCGGGTCTTCGACCGCTTTCTGGACAGCCTCAATTGTCTTCCTGGATAAATTTCCAGAAAAACTGCCAAAGATTGGCATGTTGATGTGATCCTTTGAGACTTCGACCATGGTAATGCCTGGCTTCTTCGACTGGATCCTGGTTGCCTCTATCATGTTCACCTCAGAGGGTTCTGCATAGTGGGCTTCAGCCTTCAGTGGATTGGAGTCGACAGCCATGGGGGATTTGTCAGCAAACTTTAGTCTCCCTTCCTCAATAGCGTCTTGCACAAGATTCCTGAAAAGAAAACATTGAGAAGTTTTATGGCCCAAAAAATTATGATATTTGCAAAAACCTCTCTTCTTTCTTTGATCAAGAGGAGGCACTTTTACCCCAGGGGGTACTATCATTTGGCCATCTTTAACTAGCAAGTCGAATATTTCATCACATTTTGTGATGTCAAAACTATAAGTCTTTTTTGGGAACCTATCGTTGGTCCTGTCTGGACCAATGGGATTTTTCCCATTTGAGGGGACTAACTGTTTACAAGAGTATGGTGGCCCTTGTTTTAGTTCTGCTAAATCGACTTCTCCTTCTTCGACAGCTAAAGTATCGTCGAAGGATTCTAGATCTTCGTCATCCATCTCAACGTACGCTATTCTCTCTCTCTTGTGAGTTTTTGTTGCCTTAGCTTTTTCAGCTTTGAGGCGTTCGACTTGTCGAACTCTATCGGCCAGTTGGGCCATGTCTCTTAGGTACTGGGTGTCTAGCTTCTTCCTAATGGAATAATCTAAACCACCTGCGGCCATTTCGACCAGCTCATGTTCTGGCACTTGTGTAAAACATCTCGCCTTAAGCAACCTAAACCTATTCAGATATTCGTCTATAGGTTCAGTGAAACGTCTCTTCACACTCGCCAGTTCTTTCAGGCTTATCTTGGTTTGCCCCATATAGAATTGTTCATGGAACAATCTTTCCAACTGGGTCCAATGGTGGATCGAATTGGGGGGTAGAGTTGTGAACCAAGTAAAAGCGTTCTTGGTTAAGGAACTTGGGAAATATTTGATCCTCAGGTTTTCATTATTTGAAATGTCTCCTGCTTCGATCAAATACCTCGCCACATGTTCGACAGTAGATTCTGTCGTGTCCCCAGAGAACTTAGTAAATTTGGGGACTTTGCTCCTAGGGGGTAAATCCGTTTGTAATACGTATTCTGACAATGGAGATGTAAAGTTGGGCCTTCGAAAGCCCATGTTCATTCCATTCTGAGTCATGATTCTTTCGATCATGGTTGCCAGATTGTTTTCCAAACCCATGTTTTGGTGTTGGATATGCTGAACCACTTCGTCAGCATTTTGGTTTCTGTTAACTAACCTTACCTCTGGGGCTATTACCCTAGGTTCTTCGACAGGTTGTTCTACAGGCTGTTGAGCCTGATTAATGGTGGTTTCTTCCTCTACAAATATCCCCTGATTTCCTCTTATCTGCGCCCTTTGGGGCTGTCGAATAGGTGGGGGTACTCCAAAGAAGTCAGCCAAACGCGTCATTTGCGCTGTAACTTGCTGATTCGATTGAGTAGTATTTTGTATTAGAGGATTTAGCACTGTACTCAAAGTTTGTGCCAACATTTGCACCATATCATGGTTGCTTTCGTCCATCTGTTGCCTCAAGACTGCTGTCGAGGCATTTGTAAGGCCATGGGCTACTTGGGACGTTCCTCCTAAGAGTTGGGTCCTATTTCTATTCGCCATGCCTACTCCAGAGCCTTGGAGTGGCGAAGAGGCACTCACGAAAGGGTCTGAATAAGTGGACGCAGCATTCGTCAGGCTTGCCACTTCAGAAGTTGGCATACCATAGAATGGAATAAATCCTGGGGGAACCACAGGCCTTGTGCCTATATTTCCCCTTGGAGGGGGGGTTCCCAAAGGTATTCTGGGGCCTGTAAACGAAGTTATTGGCCCCGTGGTTGTGACTGACACTGCTGGTGTCGAACCAACATTCGTCGCTTCACTAACGGTCATATTAACCGTTGCTCCCACACTTGGTGGTGGAATTTCGTTGTTGTTTGGCGGATTCGCCATCTCTTCCCTTCTTCTGGCAGTATTGTTATCGTTGGTGTATATTTTACCACTCCTCAATAACATACAACTCGAAAAGATGAGATTATTTTTCAATCAATCAACACACAGTCCCACCAGGTGTGCCAATTTGTTTACCTTGGGTTTTGGTAAACAACCGCTGATCCTCCAAATGGTTACTTATTTGGTTACTCGCAGGATCGATCAGATTGATCCTATGGACATAGGTTGATTTTGAAGTTTGATTAATGTGGATAAGGCTTTAAATAAAATGTTTCAAGTAAATTGCATAAAGGAAAGGCTTGGTAAAATAAACAAGGCTTTAAAGTAAAGGTTCGACAGGAATTTAAAGGGGAAAAGCATGTAAAATACTGGAAAAGTAAATGACTTTAATTGATAAAATTGGTGTTTCACACATACATTTCTCAACAATTCTTTCGCTCACACTGGGTACTTGAATCTAAATGAGTGACTATGTATCTATTTGTGAACACACGCGAGAAACTACATGTCTACTCCTATTTATACTAAAACATTCCAAGTAACCGTCGGGCAGTTACACTGCTTCGAGATTAAGCCACTTGGCACGTTCTCCATGCTCGACACTCCAGATCCTTGCACGTTTGCACGTAGTAACTGCTGGAAACCGTTTTCCCTCCAAAGCTTTGAATTTCAAACTGCTCCACTCTGGACCATCGAACACTTTCATCAAGAAACGTCTTCGACGAAAACTCCTTCGACGTCGAAGGCAATCAGCCTTCTTCCTTGGAAGAAATCTTCTAAGTATTTTGCCATCTTTCGACGGGCACTTCGACAGGCTTAGCCAGTCGAAAGCATCTTTCAGCCTTTTAATGGCTGCCATCAATCAAAACAAAGGTGTCGAATTTAGGAGCCAACACCGGTTCATGTAGATTTAAGGGTACAAGAAGAGGGACACCATTTGCCGCTCTAACCGCAGCGAGAAATGCTATTCAAACAATAGTCGATCAAGGCATGCAACAAGCATACATCATGATAAAAGGTCCAGATCTAGGAAGAGATGCGGCATTAAGAGGTATTTATAGAAGTGGGATACTATTAAGGGTTATATGAGATGTAACCCCTATGCCACATAATGGATGTAGGGATCCTAAAAAAATATGTGTGTAAAACTAACAATAAATATTAAAGAAAAAGATTTCAAGAGAAATAAACAATTAAATCAAGTGTTTCATAAAAATATATTACTATGATTCGAGAAAAACTAAAAGTATCTACTCAGACACTACATTGGAAGTGTGTTGAATCAAGGGTAAACAGTAAGCGTCTTTATTATGAAAGCTTTATTATGTCTCCACTTATGAAAGGTCAAGAATATACAATAGGCATTGCAATGCGAAGAATTTTGCTCGGAGAAATAAAGAGAACATCTATCACACGTGCAAAATTTGAGAAAATACCACATGAATATTCTACCATAGTAGGTATTCAAGAATCAATACATGAAATTTTATAGAATTTAAAAGAAGTTATATTGAGAAGTAATCTATATGGAACTCAGGACGCGTCTATTTGTTTCAAAGGTCCTGGATATGTAACTGCTCAAGACATCATTTTACCATCTTCAGTGGAAGTCACTGATAATACACAACATATAGCTAACCTAACATAACCTATTAATTTGTGTATTGAATTACAAATTGATAGAAAGCGGGGATATCGTATAAAAACACTAAACAAAATTAAAGATGGAAGTTATACTATAGATGTTGTATTCATGCCTGTTAGAAATGCAAATCATAGTATTCATTCTTATATAAATGGAAATGAAAAACAAGAGATACTATTTCTCGAAATATGGACAAATGGAAGTTAAACTCCTAAGGAAGCACTTTATGAAGCCTCCCAGAATTTGATTGATTGATTTATTTCTTTTTTACATACAGAAGAAGAAAACTTAAATTTTGAAAACAATCAACACAAAATTACTTTGCCCCTTTTTACTTTTCATGATAGATTGGTTAAGGATAAACTAAGGAAAAATAAAAAAGAAATTACATTGAAATCTATTTTTATTGACCAATTAGAATTTCCTCCCCGAATCTATAATTGTCTTAAAAAGTCCAATATACATATAATATTAGAACTTTTGAATAAGAGTCAAGAAGGCCTTAAGAAAATTGAACATTTTCGTGTAGAAGATTTAAAAAATATATTAAAAATTTTACAAATCGAAAAGCATTTTGTATAAATTGAAAATCTATTGGATTTTTTTAATCTTTCATTTTTATAAAAATAAAAAGAAAGGTTAAAATGTTAAATTTGAATCTTTAGCACAAATCAATATATTCAGAATAGGTCTAAAATGAAATAGATGTATCTAGGTATTAGTCATTTCAAAGTGAATTTTCCCTAGATACACAACACAATACATCTGTCATGATATTTTACAATAGAATCAATTTAAAAAAGACCTAATGTTAGGGATTTTTCAATAGGTAATGTTGCTCCAACACCCAACCAAAGAGCCACGATAGTACCAATAAAAAAGATGGTTGTTGCTATTGGACGAAGAAATGGGTTTTGGAACTTATTAACATTATCCAAAAAAGGTACTGTTAATAATCCTGCCGGTACTGAAACCATTAAAAGAACGCCTATTAATTTATTGGGTATAGTACTAAGTATTTGAAATACGGGAAAAAATACCATTCGAGCAATATTTCCAAAGGAGTTGCAAACGAATCTGCGGGTTCCCCAATCATTGATGGTTCGAGAACCGCTAAGCCTATGTTACAGGAAATAGTACCCAAAATAACTACTGGAAAAATATGTAAAAGATCATTAGGCCATGCGGGTTCGCCATAATAATTATGACCCATCCCTTTGGCCAATTTTGCTCTTAATATAAGATCATTCAAGTCAGGTTTTTTTGTTATTGTAATAGGTGAATTCTTATAGATCCATCATCCGAAAGAACCAAACATGATAATTTTTCATCATCTGACTCGAGCACGAATAAACTAACTGAATACAGACATAGAAATTTTCTAGATGTGAGTCACTCATATATCATGATTCTATGTAATAAAACGGGTTGAATTCTTTTTTTCCGAAATTAAAACTATCCATTGCAAAATATTTAGTTTTTATTTTTAAGTAAATGCTTTTCACCCAAGTAAGTTTTAAAATAAAAATCAAAAGTTGTTTCTGGGTGATCTCAAACCTTTCGCCTATTATACCTCGTAAAATGAATTTTGGAATTTTTGACATAGAAACTATTTACTTGTTACTAATAGAATACAACCCCCTTTTTTCTTTAGATCTACTTGTTTAACTCCGATAGTATCATAAATTGAGTCAATGCATAGGAAATGAATGCATTTCCATACTATTAAGTTTAATGAAATACATACGACATAATCTAAATTATATCATATTACTTTTTTACTGGATATTACAGAGCCTGTTCATGAAGGATATGATCGAGTCTGATAATAGAAAAGATTATCTTCAAGCGAACCGGACTATCCTCTGTAGAGTGTTGGTGCACAAGGAGATATGAAAGACAAAAGGAATATATTAAATGACGACTATAAAATAACGAGTAATTGATGAATTGCCTACCTACTACTAGGCTATTTATACACAATATTAGGGTATAATAAAATACTAAAATACCCTCTAATAGACTTAGTCAACAAGACATTCCTAAAATGAAAATTATTTCCAACACCATCTCTTAATTTATATTTACACAAAAATGACAACACTAATTCCATCCCTCAAACGGATAAAGTGTTCAGTCTTGACATCCTTCGTCAAAAACATCTACAAGTTGCTTCTAGTTGTTACATTGTACAACTTCTAATACTCCATTTAAAAATTTAGATTTCACCTTGAAGACCCATCTGACGGAGATGTTTTTCTTCTCCTTTGGAATCTTAGTTAATTCCCAAGTCTTGTTTCTTTCAATAAAATCAAGCTCTTCTTTCATGGCCTTCAGCCACACTTTGTTCTTGAGAACTTCACAGGTTGACAACGCAATCACCAATTACTTCTTGGAGCACCAAGAAATAGGACTTTCCAGATACAAACAAAAATATCCAGAAGTATTTCTTCTGTTAACTCTGTCTCCATACAAATTAGAGTCTGAATAGCATATCAACTCTGCATCTGATTTAACACTAGAAGGGAACAACACTCCATACCTCAGAGTCCCTTTAGTATCTTGCAGCTTTTCAAACTCTGAAAATCTCCACAGTATATTTCTGACTATATGTGGCCTCTGAACTTGTTGAGAATCTCCTTCTGATTCTGGAACAATATCTCCTTCTGTACTTTCTTCATAAGTTTGACTACCACCAGAAGCTCCACCTTTGTTAGCTTCTAAACCTTGTTCAGAATCACTACCTTCAGAAGTACCATCTTCAAAAGTTGGATCACCTTCAGAAGCTCTGCCTTCAGAAGTTCCACTTTCAAAATCATGATCACCGTCAAATGCTGGATTTCCATTAGAAGCTCCTCCTTCAGAAGGTCCATCCTTAGAGTCATGATTTTCACCAGAAACATGATCATCTTTAGAAGCTTGTCCTCCAGAACCTATGTCTTGAAATATTTCCCTTCTAGAAGCATAATCACCACCAGATTCTAGATCATCATTAAAATTTGGATCAAAATCAGATTCACCATCTGACTCACCTTTAGAGTTTCCAGAGTCATCATCTTCTGACTCTAACTCTTCTTCAGAACTTTCAAGATTTGACTCATCTTCAGAAGCAGAATCTTCTTCAGATTCTGACTCATCTTCTGATTCTTCTTCAGCGCCATCTTCTGATTTTGACTCATATTCAAACACTCATTCAGAGTCAAAATATTCAGAGTCATCTTCTTCCCCTTTAGAATCAGAAAATGACAATCTCACAGGTTCCTCATCATATTCATAAGCCATTAATAACACATGTTCATCATCTGAATCTCCTTTGGCTATTTGTTGTACCCCAATTTTCCCCCCTAAGATCCCTTTATCATACCATATTGTTTCAACCACCACAAAATCACATTAGGGCTTTTGGTTCTTCTACTTATCTTTAGCTTTGCTCTATGAGGAGTTACCAAGCACCTTAACTTGTTTTCTCTTATGATCATGGATATTTTGCTTTGATTTTCTCTCTAAATTAACAAAATTCAACATTGGTTTATCTCACTTGTTGATAATGTAGGTCAAGGCAATGAGGTTTTTAACATGTTGCTTCATGGGTTCATGAGTTTATCTCCATGCCCTGGTCAAAGTCTTGAGAAATTTAAACCTCACCATTGAAGTTGTTTTGAAGTTGGTATGAAATTTGTTGGTGGCCATAGGTCCTCATCGTCATCCTCAACAACTTCTATTCACAAAGGAAGAGTATTGGCACAAAAAGTTTGTTCAAATTTGGCAAAGTTCCACCAAGCATTCTCTTGATCTAGAGGCTAGGGTTTTGGACTTCAAAGAGGAATATCTTGCTCACCTTTTGTTATTTTTTAGTGATTCCAAAAACATTCTTCTCTTCAAAGAGTTACCAATAAATCACTTCAAAAGTTCCAAAGAGTTTTCTTGTGGAAGGAACTTGGTGAAGAAGAAAGATTACAAGTCATCCAGTTGAATCCCTAATTTTCCATATGTGACTTCAAATGGTCATAACTTGGTCAGCTTTTATCACCTTGAGCCTATTCTTTTTCCTTGATGATCTTAAATATGTTTACTTCATGCCTTCTTTTATGTGCAAAGTAAGAAAATGGATGGAAGTTGCCTTAAGAATGCAAAATATTATAGGTCATTTCATGATTTTTGGCCAACTTCAACAAGTCATAACTTGCTCAATTTTTGGAGATTTTGATTGGTTCAAATTGCAGAATGTCATTCAAGAGATCTACTTCATTCCATCTTTTTGGGTTAAGAGCAAATTCTAAGTGGAAAGCCATGTTTGGATGCAAGAGATTATAGGTCTTTTTTAAAGAAGAATTTGAAATATTTCTAAGTAAGGAAAGTCAACTCTTTTTCTCCAACTTTGACTCCATGTAATTTTCAGCTCAAGCCTCCAATTTATTCCATTCTTTTTCCATTGCAAAGTTTGTTACCTCATCTTTCCAAAGCATCAAGAATCATGCCTTAAGACTCCCTGAGGTGGAAATGCCATTGTTTCAAAAGTGGTAACTTGGAATTGAAGTTTCCCTGCAAGTCAGAATTTGAATTTCATGTTACAACCTTTAAACATCAAATTAGCACGCGTTTGTGATTTAAACATGTTTAACCAAGTTTCCAAAGTGGATTAGAGCCTTCAAACGCAAGGATTTAATGAGTTTTGATGCAAATCAGATCACACTTTGCTCGTGCATCAGGTTTGCATGAATTCCCTCCAAAACGCATCATTCACTCTTCCTTTTGATCCCATTTGCTTCTCCTATAAATACATGTACTACCCCATTCAATTTCCCAAGCTTAGATAGCCAGAATCACCCTGCCAAACTTGCTTCCCAACTCAGAATTCAGCTACTTCGAATCCTATTCTCAAGCCTTTTTCAGTCCATTTTCTCCATCAACTCACCTTCCTTGATCTTCCCTGAACCTATCCATACATTTACATTCAAGAATCGTGCCCTACATTGCTCCATAGAAGTCCAGTTTCAGAGCTCTGCAACTCCACTTCAATAGGTAGATTCCTTCATCAATTCTTCAAAATTTTGGTATCATTGTGTTGCTCTCATTGCCCTGGTTCTAGTCGCAATAATTACTTTCTTCTGGAAACACATTTGGACCATGTATTTTCAAATCCCCTTTCAAAACTTTCCTTCCAAATTGCTTGAGTTACAGTTTATATAAAAATGGTGCGAGGGTATGGTTGTCTTCGTCTTGAAGAGACGAAACAAATGGCATATGTCTGAGCTTCTGATTTTACAGTTTGAGAGACCTGCAATTCGTGAGGCTGGAGGTTGAAGATGACCAACGTGTCACCTTCTAACCAATGAAAGCGTGCCATTTGTTTTTTTGAATTTCTGATTTTACATTTGATTCAGTGCTTTATTCAGTAAAGACCATGATATGCACAGTGCGCCAGATCCTTTGTATTTGATTACTAACGCGTTTTGACTCTCATCCAATGGTCCACATCTTTTTCTTTTATTTTCTTTTTCTGATTTTATATTTTAATTGTTTTAAATTTCAAAAAATCATAGAAAATTCATTTTTAGTCCAAAAAATCTGAAAAAATTATGAAAAATATTTTTGATTATTCTCTTTCTGATTTTTATTTTTTTCATATTTATTTTTATGTTTTGATATTTTTGATGAAATTTACACTTATTTGATTTGTTTAAAATGTTTAAAAATACTTTTGCACATTTTTTAATTCTGAAAAAAATTATGGAATGATCCAATGACATTGTGACAAATATTGGTGACCTCATTTTATTTTTGTTTCTGACTTTGTTATCTTTTACTATTTTTGTTTATTTTACCCATTTATTTTAATTTTTAAAAATAGTTTATGACTTTTAAAAATTACCAAAATTTTTATAAAAATATTTGGATCCATTTCTGATTTTTCTATGACCTTATTTTTTATTTCTTGGTTAATTTGAATATAATTGATATTTTCTATTTTTTAAACTTTTTTAACCCTTTAAATATATATATTAAATATATTATTATTTTGTGATTATTTTCTGGCTGTCTTGAGTTGATTTTTTTGATCATGACTTTATTAACATCATTGGATCTTGGGTGTTGAGTTCAACTCCACCAAAATGGATGAATGATTTTAATAATAGTTTGATTAAATTTTTAATTCAAAATTGGTTTATTCATCTTTTTACCCTAATCCCTCTTCATC